GCCTGAGCCCGCGGGTTCGAGACCTGCCTGGGCAGGCGAGACCTCATTTCTACAATAAATTAAAAAAAAAAAATTAGCCGGGCATGGTAGCACGTGCCTGTAGTTCCAGTTACATGGAAGGCTGAGGCAGAAGGATCACCGGAGCCCAGCAGGTGGAGGCTGCGGTGGCCAGGAGAGGCCACTGCACTCCAGTATAGGTGACAGAGTGACACTCCAATTCAAAAAAAGAAAAACCAAGTAGCTGGAACTACAGGCTCGCACTACCACCCCGGCTACTTCTTTTGATTTATTGTAGAGATGAGGTCTCTCCAAGTTGCCCAGGTGTGTCTCAAACCCGCAGGTTCAGGCAGTCCACTCACCTCAGCCTCCCAAAGGCGCGGGATTACAGGCTGAGCCACAAGAGCCTGGCCACAAACACTTTTTATCTTAGAAAGAATAAAATGACTGTAAGTGAGAACAAGACATAAATAAGCATTAAGCCCATCGAATTAAGAGACATAAGACATTTAAAAACAGTAACATCTTACCTAAATCGATATCGCGAATTCCCACGTACAACTCAAGAAGATCATCAATCTTGCTAATTGCCTTGGATTTGGCTTCAGAGGGCTTGAGCAAAGAAGGGAGAAATAAGATGTTATATTTTTATATAAAAATCTCTCCATGGTTGAGGCCTACCTGGGAGAAAATCTGTGTGGACCCAGTCCCTGATGAGCTCATTTTAACAGAGATGGTCTGGAAGGCGCCCGTAACCAGACACAAATCCATACAGTCAATGTTTGTGTTTAATGACAGCACGGGTGCTATGGATTCAAAAAAGAAAAGCCAAAAACCCAGTCCCCAAGTAGTTCACAGTCTAGAAGGGAAGGTAGGTGTGAAGACAAATAACCGTGTAGCAGTTTGTAAAGGACACAGCAGGGTCAGAAGCCTCACAGGGAAGGAAGCAAGTGTGTGTCCCTAAGAGTCACGGAAGACTCCGGAAGGAAGGTCACTTCAGGCAGCAGGAGAGCTGGGGAGGAGGAGGCCCTTCAAGTTCAAGGCACAGACAGGCAGAATTCTCGTGGGGACGTGGGTGGGCAGAAGTGACAACACTACAGAGAGGCAGGAAGGCCCGGAGGAAGGCTCTGGAGAACGCAGTGGCACACACGCATGACCAGGTCTTCAGGGATCCCATGTGCCGTGAAAAGGAGTTTGGTCTTTTTTTTTTTTTTTTT